CATTTTCAGTAGGATTTTAAGGAGAGCTTTCATGTCCAATGAAGTAAAGTATTTGAATGGAGCTCAGTTTTTCCCAGAATCACAGGTCTGATATCCTGAAGACAGATGTCTTTCAAGAACAAAGAAAATGACTAAGGAGTAGAACAAAATCTGAAACTCTGAGACTTCTAGTGGATAGCTTTATTCAGGAGTTTCAAAGCCAGCCTTTCTCCCATTTTGGAGTCTTCAACCTCATCTGTAACAGTACAAAGTGCAGATATGAGGCCTCGTAGCACTCAGTGTGTCAGCACTGAAAGAGGATGGTTGTGGGCTGCACATTCCCTATTTTGCACTATGAAGACCTCTCTGTGTATTAGAGAGTAAAACGAACACCCCCAGGCCAAGGCAAGGGCTGGGCTCAGCACCAGTGACACGTAAATCTCAGTGGCAGTTCCTTCCTGAGGATTATGCCTCCCCTCCCCGTAAGGGCTACAGCTACTTTGAAGTTATTGGATAACAGTGATCTTTAACCTTTTTGAGAATCATATGGAAATTATAAGCCAGAAAAATCCACGTACCCACAAGTTTGAATATTTGCAGGGAAGTGGGGAGGGTGAGTAAAGAATTCCTGAAGCTCTAACATGGATTCAAGATTAAGGATCCCAGGACTTCCCTGGGTGGTCCAGTGGGTAAGACTCCAGGCTCCCAATGCAGGGGGCCTGAGTTCGATCCGTGGTCAGGGAACTAGATCCCCCAGGCTTCAATGAAGAGCCTGCATGCAACAGCGAAGATCCTGCATGCCGCAACTAAGACGTAGCACAGCCAAATAAATAAATAAATTAATGTTTTTTTTAAAAAGAGGTTAAAGGGCTTCCCTGGTGGCGCAGTGATTGGGAGTCCACCTGCCGACGGAGGGGATACGGGTTTGTGTCCCGGTCCGGGAATATCCCACGTGCCGCAGAGCGGCTGGGCCTGTGAGCCATGGCCGCTGGGCCTGCACGTCCGGAGCCTGTGCTCCGCAACGGGAGAGGCCACGACAGTGGGAGGCCAGCGTATACCACAAAAAAAAAAAAGATCCCTGCACTATAGGGTTTTATTATTATTTTGAAAAGCACCTCTATTGTGGTTTTCTTGAATTATCCTCCCCTTAATGTTAATTCCAAGTCTCCCAATAGCTTAAATGTTTTAGTGGGGGAGGATTTGATTTAGTTATGTTTACTGGTTTTGGGGAAACCAGTATTTTTGGTTTAAGTTTACTGACTTAGATTGAGAAAGTTTTGTCTTGCTGTTTGAATTCATTTTTAATGTCTGACTTTGGAAGAAGAGGCAAGCAACTATGAATCAAGATAAACCAACTCACAAGAGTGATCCCTTATTAACCACTCTTAGAATTTATGTGTTCTCTTCAGTCAAGTGGGTTGGAATTGTCAACTTTCTTTATTCATTGTATGCAGTTACTAGATTTAACTCACACAGACAGTCAAGGAGGTCTATCAGAGGGGAACAAAAATAGTAATAGTTCAACCTTATCCATGAATGAAGAATTAAAATTAAAATACTTTCTTATTATTTTATATATATATCCAGTTATTTTTAAATAAATGCAAATTATAACAAAACTCATAGTGGTACAGTAAATTGATACAAACTTTTAGGAGAATAATCTGAAAACAATCATTAAAAAGCATTATGTTCTTTTACCAATTACTTTCTTTCTAAATTACCCTAAAAAAAGTAATTCAGAAGAACACAAATCAAGTGATACTTGCAACAGTGGTGATTTTTATCAACAGTATTCAGAATAGCAAATACTGAGAATAACCCATTTGTCAACAATTAAGGAATGGTTAGGCAAAAGTCATGGCACATTTATTTGCTGCAATTTTATGAAGGCATTAAAAATAAAAAATCCAAAGAAAATGTGCATATACACATGCAAAAGTGTTGATAAAATAAGTGAAAATGTAGTTTTGAGTTGTATATACAATTGATTACAAATGTGTATATACAGTTGATTACAAATTACTATGAATGCGCATGAATAAAGATAGAGATTCAAGTAACTCTAAGAGATAGGGCAGTGAGGTTTTTTGTGCATTTTTCTCTAAATATGTTTATTTACATTAGCCAGAGGGTGGTGGCTTTTTTTTTCTATGACAATGTAGTTTTTGCTTCTTTCCTAGTCAACACAGACACAGAAACTGCCGTTGTCAACGTCACATACGCAACAAGAGAAGAAGCAAAAACGTAAGTGGATTTGGGCTTATTTCCCTTCAAATTTGGGCGTTGGGGGGGAGTGGAGCTTGTCTTTGAATTCCATTGAGTCCTGTATTTATAAACCTTTTCTGAAAAGATGCAGAACTTTGACACATCAGTGGAGCCCCAGGGCATTTATACCAAAGTGTCTGTTTGTTGATTGTACAGATATTTTTATCTTGAAAAATGTTGAGCCTTGGCATCAAAACCGAGGTGGGAGCTGCATCTTGATATAGTCAGGAATAGAGGGCACCACGTCTGTGCCATTGTGTCCACTAGAGTCTGCTCTGACGGCCACTAGGAGCCACTTCCACCTGGAGCTTCCTCCATGCACCATGAGGAAGAAGCCCAAGCCCGCTTCTGTCCAAACTCATCGAATGGATGCTGAAACCTCATTTTCCCTCTATGAATATTAAAAGAGGGATCCACCTTAGTGACATCAGCCCAAGGGAACATTGTCATCTAGGAGTGGTTCATCAAAGAGCACCTGGCTCAGGTTCTTTTTCCTACTCACATTCACCTCCTAATCCCACTCATGGCTACATTGCTTCAGTGATGGTTAATTGTGAGCTTGGCTGTTAACACACATGGGACTGAATTTTTTTTAAAAACAACAACAACAAAAACAAGTTCCTTTTTGTAGAGGGTCCATGAAGTGCCTGTCAGGTCATTGTAACTAGAATTATGGTCACATGTGGCATAACATCTGTATTGGTTATATGTCCCAGGATTATACTTTTATTTCTTTTTCAAGGTTTCCACACCCATGAATACATGGTTAACCCATTCTCATACCACTAGTTTTCAAAATGTTAATGTTGCTTTGAAAAAGGCAGTGGTCATTTGCTGTTGACTTTTGCACACGTATGTAAGCAGGATACATATACCAACAACTGAACCTTTACAGTTCTTGTCCATCTGCTACTTAGGTAGGCCCTCTGTACATGATATTACTTTGTTGCTTTTATTGAATTCAGAAAGCGCTGCTTGGGCTTCCCTGGTGGCGCAGTGGTTGAGAGTCCGCCTGCCGATGCAGGGGACACGGGTTCATGCCCCGGTCCGGGAAGATCCCACATGCCGTGGAGCAGCTGGGCCCGTGAGCCATGGCTGCTGAGCCTGCGCGTCTGGAGCCTGTGCTCCGCAACGGGAGAGGCCACAACAGTGAGAGGCCCGTGTACCGCCAAAAAAAAAAAAGTGCTGCTTTGTAATAAATTCGTAAACCCTAAACAATAACCTTGTAGAAGAGGGTTAATTTTTTCACATGCTGCCAAAAACACGTGAAAAAATGGTTGCACTTCATGCATAGTTTTTAAGATGCAATAGTGGGATTTATCAAATTGATAAGTCTTTTAAAATCATAATACTTTGTACTTCTGAGGATTCAAGGAAACAAATGCTCTCTTAACTGCTATGGGATAGTACATGTTGAAACCTTTCCAGAGGGACACTGAGCAATAATGGCTTAAGATGTTAGATGCCTACTCTCTGACCCAGCAATTCCATTAGGAATTTGTCCTGTTTGCAAAGTTGTAGTTGCAAAGATGCCCACGACAATACTGTATGCAATAGTAAAAGATTAGAAACATATATATATATATATATATATATATATATATATATATATATATATATATATATATATATATATATATATAAAACAATAGAGAATC